TAGGTAGTACTATTGTTGTCGAAGTAGTTGTCTAATTAGTTTCGTTAGGTGGTACGTGGTAGACAATATATATATATATATATATATATATATAGTCAGTATTTTCCTTAAAAATCAGCTATTTGATTTAATCACAAGGGTTATGTATGTTCTTTATTTGGATCTGCTGTTTTACATGAGCTTCCAGAATATTTAAGAAAAAAATACAAAACTTTATGACCTTTCAGGCCTTGAAAACGTTTTTTTTTTTCAAACTCTAGGACTTCCCAGGTTTTCAATGACCCATGGGAACACTGAGGTATGTTAGAAGTCAGTGTCTAGGAACTGGTCATTGTAAGTCAGTATTTTAGTTCAATTACTAAAGATTGTCAATAACATAATTTTTATACAATATAAGAAGTTAGTGTTGTCAAAATGTGTATTAAATGATGCATTTGCAAATAAGGATGCTTAAAAACCTGTGATTCTACTTCTGTATTTATTTATTTATTCATTTAACAAACCGATTAAGAGTAAATAATTATGAGTTTTGGAATTACAATAAATATAATATTCTTTTAATGGCTGGAGACGGCGTGAATGGGTAATGTTGAAAAACTTTAATATAAGTTTAACATAACAGCAAATGTACAACGTTCCGACAAGGTTTTGTCATCATTCAGGTACTATAATATTCTTTTGGAAGTGCCATTGTTGTAATTTTTATTTTTTGCTTTAATAAGTACGCCAATACATTAAATATAATCTATGGACATTATTACGTTTTCCGAACAAGTTTACAGTTTTCGGTGGTAAAACAATTGTATGTTTTAACGTATTTATCATCATTATTACGTCATTTTTAGGCAACCGAGAGATGTCGTTAGAAGCTGCCCTATGCCTGATAAAAGCTTTTAATCTCGTATGGAAATTGTGCTTTAACTTTTGGGTTATGAATATGATACAACGGTAACTGTAAAATTGTATGAAAAAAAAAGGTACCTAGCCCTTTGGTTTGAATTTTGATTTAAGGGATTAATTTCTATTTGAAATTAAACCTATTAAAGAAACACATTATAAAATTAATAATAATATATAAATTTAAAACTATCAAGTAAAATATTATATGGACAAAAACAACTGGGAATGGGATAGTAATAAGACATCCCAGATATATTCACTGTATTAATATTTATGTATATTTAAACTTCCAAAGCGAAATATTATACTAGAGAGATAAAAATCATTTTTAAGTAGAAATGTTATGCCTTACCTAAAAATTAAAACAAATTACATTTGTTCAAAAGTTGGTATTTCCAAATGACTGCCCTCAATATTACAATTTTACAGGTAATTGGCGTTTGAATAATATAACGTTTATGTCTAATAAGATGCAAGTCAACATCCAGCGTGATTTTACACTGGACTACTTGTATATTAATTATCATAACTTACTCTCGCAATAATGTAACGCAGTACAATTGTATTTATAGTTATAACTTTCTTATAGATATATGTTAATTGCTTTTTTAACTTTCATATTGGCCTAATACTTTAGTATTTACACTAAATTACAGGTTCGCATACTTAAGTTATACTTAAACTTAAAGAAAATGCTGTATCCTGCATCTGAGTTTTAACATTAAATTGTATAACCTTTTAAAATCAACATTTTAAAGCTCTAAATGATTTAAAATACCTATAAAAGTATTATTTCTAAAGTGCAAAAATGCTGCGTATGTTCAAAATCAGATATAAACAGATGGTGAAACTGAAAGATAGGCATCTATTTCATTACTATTTTATCATGTTAAATATTTTACAACAATGACACTATATGCGCTAAAATTTATCAAGCATGGTCAAATATAACTTACCAGGGCCGGGTGATTCCTCGACTTGAGGCTGAGATGAGGCAGTAGAAACGTTAGAATCACTGTTCATGGTGTCAGGTTGTTAATGTTACATCCTACCTATCCATTGCTTTGCATTTGCAGCTTGGAGTCTTCACTCCTTTCTCTTATTGACACAGTGACAGTGTCCTGTCTCAAGTTGTTAAACCACAATAAATATCCCTGTCTGTAAATTTACTAATGTTAGTCTGGATCTTGCTTATGCAAGCCCAAAACAAACATGTAGAAAAAAGCATTGAATATCGTGCCTTTTCAAAAATTTCCAGTTCCAGTGCTACACAGGGAAATAAATAATCAAGGACAAGGCCTAGAGCGAGCACGTAACTTCACTTTCAGCAATAGTGAGCACGCGCGAAAGTGGGTTAGATAGGTCGCTTAGATCATTAAAATTAGGTCATTGACGCTATTGAAATACACATTCGATGGAAATATACACAAGTATATTTAATGGCGATTAATACCAACTAATTGTTATAAAATCATAAGGTCTTATATGGTTATGAAATTTCATTTTCAAAGTCATTTCAGGCTACAGCTTTTACTTTGACGTAAGCGACATAATAAACACTAAATCATGTGGTCAATTTCTACAAAGCATTCCTGTAACTAAAGTTCTTAACAAATAAAGATAGTTTTCCCTGACGTCAATACATTTGTGTTTTTTTCCTAGTCTGTATTATAATCTATATCTTGTTCCCGAAACTTCAGAAATTGATTATTCTAGCTAAGAATAATTGAAAGCTGTCCTAAGCACTTTTTGTCCAGGAATTCAAACTTGGTAGAGAATATATATTTATTTATATTTTTTAGGGTATGATTTCTGGGCTTACAAAATAGCTAGATTTCGAACACTGCTTTTAAATATGTAACAAGGTAATATTAAACAAAGAAGAAGCGTATACATCTCCCATTTGATTCGCAATTGTTAATCACCTTGAATACTTTAAATACTCTCTTACGTGGCTCAGAATACCTCATGTTGGCGTCTGATAAAAAAAAAGAGAATTCAAAAAATCATATGATGTCTCGGACTTCCCACCAGAATGTGGTATTGCGAGGGAGTGTCCAGGAATGGCTAGTTAACGAGTTGGAAATATTACCAATAGCAAAGTCTCTTGTATATCCGATATATAAAGAAGTTGTTAATGTTCTCATATATCGTTAATAGCCTGATACTTCAGAAATACTTGTTTTTATCAAAATAGTTTTACTTACTTACTGTTTGACTAGGATCATATGAATATTGGAAGACAATTCCTAATTAACCACTGAAGAAGGAATGTTTACCTTCCGAAAATCTCGGTTTATTTTCGGATATTCGTTTTGTAATAATTCATCTAATTTTTGTTTCTCTGTGGTATTTTATTTTTATAAAAACAAAAACATATCATTGCCAAACCTACAAATTAAATTGTAGTTGTCATGGTTAGTAGCTTATACGATAAATATTACTGATTAATTACTAATTTCCCTATTATTATGATTAATACTGCTATTAGTACTAATTACCAATTGCTTATACCTTTTGTTTGGGTTAATTCATACTATGCTACAATTTTCAGGTTAGTCCTGAGAAGTAGCAAAGATTTAATCGGGAGTTTTCTTGTTAGAAAGGCAGGAGGATTATCTGGACTCTCACATCGTAGTCTGATATATCACAAAGCGAATCTGAGTTTTGACTTTGACCAAGCTGAAAGAAGAGACAAGACACAATGTAAACAAAGTGCAAAGAAATCTATACTCAAATCAAAGGCAAATAATGAAAGTAGGTGAGTTTACAGGATAATTAACAATGCCTTATTGTCAAAGAACGAGAGTACCAAATTCTCTATCTTATTCTCAATATAGTTTATTACTGACCAATCTTTTATAAACAGAGTTTCTAAATGAAAGATATGCAATTTTATGCATAAGATTCTGCCTATCCTATTATACTTTTTCAGTTCTTAAGCAAAATGATGCATGCCGGAATTTGTGCACATTGTGACAACCATTTTTCAACACATTTTGGTTAATAAATGTGCCTGATAATATAATGATCAATGATGCATTAGACCTCTGTCGAATTCAGAGTCCATCTAAATAATTTTACACTAATCTCCAATCAAATAAAAGTATGCATTCTGTATAATTTTAAATAGATTGGTGAAAAGCATACACCAGGAAGATGGATGATGAAACATTTAAAACATACTCCTTTGCTGATCCTTTCTGGTCATCTTCCATTGCAGTTCAAGGAGTTTGTGCATTTCCAAGATGTTTGGATACCTTTTGGTTCAATGTACATTTTCCAATTAGTTAGCTGTTCATCATTTAGCAGTTAAAAGGAGCCCTACTTTTAAATGTTGGTTTAATGTAAACATCAAGCAAATAAGACAGTGTTGAATCGATCCTACTAGTATTAATATTTTGTCTACAGCCCCAACAACTCCTCCCCCTCCACTCTCCAACATTTTCTCACCAACTCTGAGAGAATTGGAAATATGACCAATTTGGCAAAGAAAGGGCTCTAATTATCTTCCATGAACATAGAATTAGTAGGGATGGAACTATAAAGATTCTGATAAAATAGAAGCAGTCAAACATATGTAAAAAAATTGTTACACTATTGGTTATCACAGTTGTATTCAGAGCTTTAAATAATTGTCTCTTTTCCATCAAAATCCACACAGGTGGGTTAAGTTACTTAGAACACCTTTTGACAAGACAAATTATTCTTCTCTTTCTATGTTATTACCATACAAGCTGTGAAATTCACTTTATAAATCGCCACTATACGCTTTTTATGGCTAAATTCACAATTATGCAGTCTAACTTCACTTTTATACTTTCACTTTCGTTAACTTACTTACTTGCATTATCTTGTTCGCCTATATATATACATATGTATATATACATTACCTGACTGAGGTCTAGAACTTTCTAAGAACTACGAGACGTAACGAAGTAACAATACTTATTTAAAGCAATGAGAAAAATTCAGAAGGTCTGAGTAGCATGATGTCAATTCACAACAATTGAACTGCACAACAAACGATTCGTAAACAGCTATTTAAGCAAACTGGCCATAACTATTGCTTCTAAAATAACTTACTTTAACGCTCACACAATATAAACTAAATAATACTCCCGTACTAAACTTAAAATGAACAATCCTGTATATCTAACAAAATACTTGATCAAAGTGGATCAGTAATATTAAAGTGACTTATGAATTTCAAGAACCTGAAGATATGATCTCTTATTGCATAGTTTCAGTTTCATCATACAACACTAATTGGGTTAGGAGCATGTCTGTTTACTGAATGTTCTGATTTAGGCCACAATAGCAGCAGTAGCTTCATATTATTGAATATGTATGCGAAAAGTATAGGTAGTTAGGGAGGCAATACCTTCCTACTTTCTTGTTTTGCCAAAGTTGTATTTAGGTATAGAGAGAAGTATAATCATAACATAACCATCAACTTTTCTTACCCAAACTGTTCTAGTCAGATTATTTGTTGTAGTTAAGTGTTAAAGGTTGAAAATTATATCAAGAAAACTGCATGAAATTTCTATGATTAAGAGATAAAAAAGAGCTTATTTTCCCCACTAAATCAGAGCTCATGCACTGTGCTCCACTAGAATTCGGTGACAAATTCCTTACTTCATTTCGTGAGCTATACCATGGCTATAGATAGCAAACTCATGCGTTCATGGTTCCCCCAAATATGGTTAAAACGTGAAAAAAATACATAGTTTGGACGTAAAAAGTATTGGATCTAAAGTTATACAAAATCTTAAGAAGCATAAAAGTGTATTTACCTGAAAACTCAGAACCAAGCATAGGTTTAAAAAATCACAAAATGTAATTGCCTTCTTCCAGAGCTATCCATTAATACAACTTTACTAAGCAAATATTTTGAAGTGTAAAAATAATTTATTGTGTTCTGGTGGCACTGCTCTTATTTGTGACAACAGTGGTGATTGTCTTGTTTCGGATGACCATGGGATTGTTTATTGTAGTTTTGAGGACAATGGTCATCATGGTCCAGAAGACAATGGAAGCTGCTGTTACAGTGTATAAAGTATTGGTGGTGCTATTACTCTGTTCTGTCTTTATGACTAGGAATGTGTATGAAGCATAGGGCTTTTGCTCAGTAGAAGCACTTGCTAGACAAGTAATGGCATTGTCAAAAAGTGTAATTCCTCAAGGGTCCTTTGATTTTCAGATTCCCAGCTTTTATCCTGTGGCAGCCAAATAAATTTTATTTGCATTACAATACAACGTTTAATGTCATAAAATGATCTTGTAGTTAGGTTTAAAAACTGTGTGAATACTTGCTGAAGGTAATGTGAAGTTTCTATGTTACTTAGAGCTGGCTAGCTCATTCTATTTTTTATTATCTTACTTTCACGTTTTTAAGTACGGAAAATTATTGTGTGATACTTTTCATCCTTACTGCTTTGAGGCATGGCCACAAGCCTCGTGAAGTGATTGAACAATTTAAGAACTTCTTAAATATCCCTACAAGCTAAGTATTCAATGCTTACCAACGTGATATATTCAGGTAAAACTTAATTAATCTCAACGCAATCGGATTGGTCTACTTAATAACAGGAGGTTGAACACGATATTTATTACAAAGTACTTCTGTGTTATTTGGTTTTAACTGAGTTTGATAAAGAAAGAGATTGGACACAAATGTACAAAAAACACAATGAAACAATCTTTATTTATATCTACAAACAAAATAAAAACAATGTGTGTCCAGGATGAATGACAGCACCTTTACTATATAGTTAACTTTCTGTATTCTCCTAACAATTTATAAAAGATGCTTGACAAAATTTACTTAACATTTATTGTTAAACTGTACGGGAGCATTACAATGTACAAAGAAAAGACTTATACTTCACTTATCAAACTGGGTTTTGAATTTAAGAGAGCGAGAGAGCTAACTAAGAGATTATAGTATTATATACTCAGTTTTATAACACTATATTCTGAGGACGCGTACATCACCTATATCACTGTTAGTCAAACCCATTGAAATATAAGGGAGATCGTAACATCGATAAATCACATGAACTATCATTGAAGGATACTTCTGTTGACATTCCTGCACAACATGCAGCATTACAACCATGGATAGAACATGTATTATCTCCTAGAGAACAAAAATAGTGTAGTACAGGACATATTATGTGTTTTCCATCTCTTTAGTTAGAAAGTAATTTTTTTAAATTATATTCATTTTAGATTGTAAATATTCAATAAAGCTACACAATGGGCTATCTGTGCTTTGCCCACTGCTGGTTTTTAGCATGATAAGGCCTCAGGCTTATCGCTGAGCCACTGATCAATTAAATGACGAACCTTTAATAATATTAATTATATTTTTCATAGTTTCTTTTTTGAAGACTGTGAGGCTCAAGCAAGTTACCAAACTTTTACATTCTCTAAGAGCAAAGAGAAACCAGTGGGCAATTAGACAATTATCCGCTTTTCTTACAGGAATAACAATGCCTTATGTTGGACAGGGAGCCAACTGTGGTATTGTTGTCGACTAATCGTATAATAGCTGCAGAAAGCCACGCCCTTTGTCAGCCCTATTGCAGATTGTTGTTTTTTGTTTAGTAATGGATTAAGGTTTCTTCTTGTATTTAAGATCATGTATTTCCTCTGAATCTTAGCTTTTTGTGTGTGCTTCAACTTTGTAAGTGTTCAGTAGAGGCCAGGTAGGTTTCTGCTGAGTTTTTTTTTTTTTTATTGTTGTTGTTGTTTTGCGTTCTTGTCAGTTTATAAAACACGATCACTTGTGCTTTTTTATTGTATTGTTTTGTATAGCATCTTGAATTTGTATTATTAAATATTTTTGTGTTTAGATATGAGTTTTGTATATTCCTTGTGTGACCTAACAACAAGCGCTACTCTAAACGAAACAAACCTTAATACACGATATCCTAGAATTTCCGTTAGCGAGCTTAAAGACCTGCTTTAAAGTAAGTCCGCGTGCTAGAAGGTAGCACAAAAGGAATTAAGGCAGTTAGAACGAGGTGAATTTATTGGCTTTCTCTACCATGTATTATATGAAACGTGCATATATATACAGAAGATAGTAACCTTGTTATATTGAAATACCACTCCTGTAATGGCCTGGTTCCAAAAGGGGATCATGAAACTCCACTTGTCCTCCATAATTCCCCAAATGAACAATATTTTCTTAACATTAGACTAACCTCTTTAAGAGCTGTTTATTACGCTCTATATATGCAAAAGCCTTGTTTTTATGTTGCAAAATATCAATATCTTTGATTGAAATAGCTAGTTCCAAAAATAATATTTGGTATGATATCCCGATGTGGCAGTATGAAAAATTAGCTTAGCGGAAAGGGTAAACATGTTGAGATTAATTATTAAACTTCAATACATATAAGTTGTTACAGTAATATTAGGCTGTAAAGTTTTATTGGATTAAAAAATTATAACTGTACTAGAAACTTCTGTCTCATGACGGACAAGTATTGCCAAATGCCAACGCAACTTTTGTAGGTTATAGAAGGTGGAATATTGGAAGAGAGGAAAAGCAACATGTTTAGAAGAGTGGGGCGTGCAATTGACCTTCCAGCCAGTGCTGTGAGTCAATGTTCAAATTTATTTTTAGAACAAGTCAACAATACGCGAAGAAAATTGAGATAAAAGTAGGTGTATCTTATAAACAAAAATAATGCTGAAAATCATAAACATCCTTCAGAAAATTCAAGAATAGGAAAATCTTAGTAAGTTAGTGGTATGAAGAATAAAGATTTAAATAGGTCCTGCTATGGTATGAAGAATAAAGATTTAAATAGGTCCTGCTATATGCTATCATCATCTACTGGCCTGATTGATAACCGACTAGAAAATTTGGTTTCGTGTGAATTTCGCGCAAAGCTGCACCAGGGCTAGCTGTCCCTAATTTAGCAGTGAAAGACTAGAGGGAAGGCAGCTAGTCATCACCACCCATCGCCAACTCTTGGGTTACTCTTTTACTAACAAATATTGGGATTTATTGTCACATTATAACGCCCATCGTTTATTTTTTGGCTTAACAACAAATAAACATTAAAAAAAGCCTGAATGTGTTATTACAAATTAATATATTTTGTTTGTAATACAAAAAAAGAATAGGCCAAATATGAATTACGTTCTATTTAAATAAATAGTTACACATAATATAACTGTTATTTGTCAATTACAAAAAAGTTACATATTTTGTTACTTTCTAAAGTTTGCAGACTGAGGAATCATAACTATAGGTTTTGTGTTACCAAGGAAGAAAAACTGCATAATAAGTAAAAATTATTCACACTATGCTTTTAACTTATAAGAGAATATAAGTTAGAATAGACTTTTAAACTTCTGTTATTTATTATTATGGAAATTTCACACTTCAATGATCCATGCTTTGAGAAATAATTTCAAAAACGTTAAATATTTATTAATAGAATAAATATCTTCTACCTTCTTTCAAGGGTGATAAAAGTTGTCGCAGTAATTATAGATCTTTAGTCTTACATCGGTGGTGGGAAAAGAATTTGAAAGCCTGATAAAAGATGATTTGCAAAATAATTTAACATAGATTAAAACTTAGTCAGCATGATTGATTTCACTAAGGGAAAATCGTGCCTAACTAATTTTTATGGTCCTTTGAAAAACTTACTGCTAATGTAGATAAGGGTACAGATGTGGATATGGTGTACCTGGATTTTCAGAAAGCATTTGACAGAAAATACTGCCTTACAAAAGGATTTGGATTATTTGGTGAGTTCAGTGAATAAATGGCAGATGGAGTTTAATTATAATAAATGCAAGGTAATGTATGTGGGATATCACAATTTGAATTATGAATATAATTTTGATGGGAATAACTTCAACAGTGATTTGGGAGAAAGAGATCTTGGAGTTCTGGCTGATCAGTCTCTTAAGCCATCTAAGCAATGTGCCCTTGCTAGTGGTGGTACAAACAAGATTTTAAGTTGCATCTACAGAATTATCGAATACAAGTTTAAAGAGCTTATAGTGTCAATGTATAGGTCATTAGTTATGCCACAATTGGAGTATTGTGTTCAGTCTTGAGCTACTTATCTGAGAAAGGACATTGAATTGTTGGAAATGGTTCAAACGAGAGCTATTATACGAGGAAACTGTTTACTCTTGAAAAAAGAAAAGAAAAAAAAAGGATTAGAGAGGATTTGAGTAAGGTATCTAAGATTTGTAAGGAAATTGGTAGTGTTTATGCATCATCTCTTTCCATACTTAATGGTGAGAATAGTAAGGCTAAAGGATACAAATATAAATTTTGGAAGGGAAGAAATCATCTTCATCTGAGATAGCCTTATTTTTCTAAGAGAATGGTTGGCCTTCAGAATGAGTTACCTTGAGATGTGTTAGATTCTGTTAATTTAAGGGAGTTTAAGGGAAGCATGATAAATATTTGAATTGTACATGCTGATTTTGGACGATTTAATTTTATTTTTATAGTTTAGTATAATGGATGAGATGGTGTAGTTCGACGAAAATGTTCTTTGTTGTCGTTTAATGTTATGCTATTTAATTACTGTTGTGTAAAAGACGCATTTGAAAGAAGCGATAATGAAATTATATGTCCAGAGTACATCTATCTCGGGAGTTATAAGGTCCTTATTATTTTTGTCAAATATACTTCACGTTTTATAAGCTGGCGCCCCCAAGTAGCACAGCGGTATGTCTACGGACTTACAACGCCAGAATCCGGGTTTCGATACCCGTGGTGGGCAGAGCACAGATAGCCCATTGTGTGGCTTTGTGCTTAATTACAAACAAAAAAACAAACTTATAAGCTGTACTTATACTGTTGTAATTTGTTTAATTTAAATGTTAGCCAGAAGGTGCATATTATGTTAAGATCAAGTAAGTTCCGGAAAAATCTAGAAAAAAGAGTAAAATACAGATAGACGTTTCCTGAGACATCGAGAGGTTAGTTGCAGAGTGAGTTTAAAAATAGTCAGGTATATAGTTAAGAGATAAATAGAGTTGTTCCAAGATAAAGAGTTGAATCAGTTCGTGTGTTTTCGTGAAATATTCAGATTTGTGTTAGCTAAATGCTTACATAAATGCAGTACAATTTGAAAGTCATTTGTAATGTGGGCCTTATAATAGTTTACGACAGTGTACACGTGTTCAGTCTTGTAGAAATATAAAGGAAGAAATAAACTAATTTATTACTGCTACATGGATTTGACTTTGAATTATTTTTACCAAGGAAGCTGCCAGTGATAAAACAATGCTAAAACGTTTGATGTCAGAAGTAGGGTTTATTGTTATAAAAAGAAGATATAACTTTAACCATAAACTGAGATAGTGTTCATGAAGTCAAAGAGTGTGTGTGTGTGTGTGTGTGTGTGTGTTATGGCAAATCCACATCGGGCTATCTGCTGTGTCCAATGAGGGAAATCGAACCCCTTATTTTAGTATTGTAAATCTGTAGACTTACTGCTGTTCCACTTGGGGATAAGAATGAGAGCAAACTTTACTTGAGATGAGAAAATTATTGACACAAGACCAGGAAGAAATTTACAAAAAAATTAAAAGAAGACCAGGAAGAGTTGGAAAGAAAATTCAAAGAAAGAGACATAAAAATAGAATAAAACGAATAATAGGGAGAGATAGAGAAAATAAAAGAAGACCAAGAAGACTGTGACAAGAATTTAACAGAAGAGTTAAAAAAGAGAGATGAAATATTTAAAGAAGAATTAAAATCAAAAATAAATCTGAGTGAAAATAAGATCAATGAAACTATAGAGAACAGACAGAGGGTTTACAACAACAAGTTGCATTAGGACATCGATGAAGAATGGAGAAGCTTTAATGGAAAAATTGAAGAAGTATAGCAAAGCTGTAATGACAAAATTGACCAAGTAAAGAAAGACATCAATGAGGTTGAAAATAACCTCAAGTCGAATTTTTAAATGTAAATATTTAACCAGCCACACTTTTTTCTGCATCGATTCAAGAGTTTCAACTTAAACACACCATCTACTACAAGATATGGAAGAGGAGAACTTATTTGGTCTACAGTTTTTACCATTACTGCTGTGCCATTTGCTATTAAGGGACCTACCTTGACTATTCCAACCATAAAACTATCAAATACAATTCCAGAATTCAACAAGCCAGTTCAACATCAGCCAATAGAGAAACCAACAGACTATGATGGAAAAGTACCATGGGAGTTATACCAGACTCAGTTTGAAATTATTTCCAAAGTAAATGGGTGGAATACTGAACAACAAACTAGAGATGTTTGCATGGTACATGGAAGTAGGAAAGTGGCAACAAAAATATGAGGGAAGTGTTTAGTATGAGAGCTCATTTATATCCACTGAGAGTTATCGGGTATATTCAGTTACTTACTTGATTAACAGTGAATTCGTACAAGTAAGTTTATTCTTGTAAGTTATGCATAGGAGCATTAGCGAGAATTTCTGTTGAAACGATATTTGTGAATTCAGGCCTACAATTTGTGTCAAAGTGAACTGAGCCTGTAGAAACATTATGGATGAAATAAAGTTATTCATTTTTGATATGTGAACGGATTTCGCATTATTTTCACTAAATAATTTGAGAGAAATCACCCAACATTGGTATCAGAAGTGAGATGGTTTTGTTGAAAATAAAATATAACTTTGACTAAACTTTAAACTTTATGATGACAACCTGGGGAAGAAGTAAAGTCAAATCTTTATTTGAGATGAAGAAACAAATGAAAAGAAGTCAAGAAGAAAGAGACAGAAAATTAAAAGAAGAGTAAGAAAAAGAGATGGAAATATAAATGACCAAGAAGAAATTTAGGGAAAATCAAAAGAAGATCAAGAAATAAGAGGCAGCAATTTAAAAGAAGAATTAAAGTAAAGAGGCACAAACTTCAAACTTTATGATGACACCCTGGGTAAGAAGCAAAGTCAAAACTTTATTTGAAATGATGAAATAGCTGAAAAGAAATTAAGAAGAAAGAGACAGAAAATTAAAAGAAGATCAAGAAGAAATTTATAGAAAATTTAAATAAGAGTAAGAAAAAAATATGAAAATATAAAAGACCAAGAAGAACTTTATAGAAAATCAAAAGAAGATCAAGAGATAAGAGGCAGGAATTTAAGAGAAGAATTAAAGGAAAGAGGCACAGTATTTAAAGAAGAATTAAAAACAAAAATAAATATGATTGAAGACACAATTGATAAAGTTATTGGAGAGTACAGAAGGATTTCAACAAAAAAAAAAGATTGAGAAAGCACTGAAAGGTAAGGAAAAGTAGAAGAAAAGGTAAGGAAAACTAGAAGAAATACAAAAAGACAACAAGAAAGTACAGAAAAGCTGTAATGACGAAGTCGAAAAAGAACAAAAAAGCCACTGATAGAAAAAATGATTGGAAAATAACTGGTAAATGTAAAAATCAACCCATTCACACCTCTTTCTACATCTGTCCAAGAGTTCCAACATTATTTACTATTAAATATGTTGTTCCATCTGTAACTGCAAGGCCTTCTTGGACTACTCCAATCATGACACTACCAAACCAAGTTCCAGAATTTAGCTTACCAGCTCAACAACATCATTTAATCAAGAAATCAATGGATTATAATGGAAATGTACAATGAGAGGAATACCAGGCTCAATTCAAAATCATTCCAAGAGTGAATGGGTGGGATAATGAACAACATGCCATCTATCTAGTTGCCTACTTAAAAGAACCAGCTTTGATAACATTAAGTAACCTTCCAGCTGAGAGCCATAACAGCTATCAAGCACTGGTAGCTGATTCATTAAACAGGTTCAGAATAACATTTAACAAGGAAGTATCCAGAGCAAAAATTCCAGAACATGGTATAGAGGGAAAAAAAAGACTTAGCCAAACTTGTGGAAGATTTTAAAAGCTTGCTCATCTATCATACCTGGATGCTCCTCGTGAAATGGCAGATTCATTGTCATGTGACCAGTTTATAGATAACATAACAGGTGAGGATATGAAGTAAAGTAATGTACATCTTTAAAGGAAGTTCTGTAGTGGCAACGGAACCTGAATCCATTAAAGTTGTGGATAAACAACTAAATGTACCATCTAGAAGCTATGAGGACATCAGATCGAGTAGTGTTGAAACAATAACTCCTCCTGACAACAGTTCGGAAGAAATGAAAATATTAGTTATACAATTAATTATAGAAATTGTAGGAAATAAACAAAAAAATAGATGTTTCCAATTTAACTTGTAAGGAGTATTGCTTGGAACTGCAAACCAAAGCCTGTATAGAATAAAAGTATTCCTAAAAGATACTAAAAAGAGTAAATTGTGGAAAATATGGCCATTGCAGCCGAAGCTGTAAGGAATCAACAGCTGTTATTCATCCAAGAAGACAAAGCCTGACCAGGTCAAAGGAACAACAAAGAACTAATCAGAAACAACAACAAAACGGGAATTAGCTGGATCTATGGCAATACAAAATTCCTATATAATTTGAGTTATTAACTTCTATCTAAATTTTATTTAAATATAATTAGTTGTCATTTCCTGGTGAATATTGTTGTGATCAACGACAAAATGCTTAAAATATCAGACATTTAATTATGTTTTACTTTTTTAACGAGAGATGGCATAAGATTGTTAACCCCATAACTTATTTTCCGGATGTGGATTTCCGCTAAATACATGTACACTTTACAGCTAAGCGTGAGAGTGTAGTTGAAATACAAGTATTAAAATGGCTAAGTTAATTTTTGTGGTAAAGAATTTATGTTTATTTAGTATATAAATCACTTCAGTATATAGTCAAGTTTATAGCAAAACGAAGAATATATAACTTTGTATCATTCTGAAGCCGAAGGTGAGAATAAATTTTTATGAAAACTGAAATTAACTTTTTGATTTTTATGCTAATATATATATATGAAACGTGAATTAGGGCTAAAGGTAACCCTAATAAATAACCAGTAACTTGAGAGCCATAGAAAATACAGCCTTTACAAATTACAATGTCCACTTTTCTGTTCATTAACGTTAATATTTTATTTATTTAAATTATTATTATTTTTTACCTCAACGAACATTTATCTAGGTAATTTATTGTTAAACTTAAATGTTAGTGTAAACTGTAAGTTATTTGAACTTAGGTTAGTTAGAATTAGAAGTGGATTTTGATTATATTGGCAGTGACGCTGACAGTAACTAAGTAAGACTTTCGCTTATGCCAGTTTTGGTTATGCCCTATGGTTGACTCCTGGTTGTTCTCTTAACACCTAAAGTAACGGAATTTGGAAGCTTCTATTTCGAAGTTCGAGCATGAAGCCTTCATAAGTAAGAACATTACAAAGAGAAAAGTGACAAAAGGTAATCTGGAACATCAAAGTCTTGAGTCACGAAAATAAACCAAGCAAAATCAGGAACTCTTGCAAAACAACAGACAGTATACATAGTAGAGTTGAACTGCTAAAAGAAGGCATTTAAGTTAACAGACTTTGTGTATATATGAAGTTTTGAAACAGCTATTTGTGGGATAATAGATGTTTTTCTATTATTTATATATATTTTCTATATCAACATTAGTTATCAAGTCTATTGCAACCAAAAATTCTACTATGTAATAAGATGTATGACATTTCATGCCAAACTTGCAGGACTTTCTACAGCAACATTTACTGATCCACTTTCAGATGTAGATTTTATAATTATATAATCATTATTTAATCATAATTGTGTTAAAGTTATGTAGAAAAAAGAAATTGCAAAAGATATAAACATGGAGAAAGTTTACATGAAAATGTCCAAAAGGCACTGGGGATATTCTGCTTCTTCAGTTAATTTCCAAATAGAAGGTGAAAAACTGTCAAGCAAACAACTAAAGAGCATGAATAACAAGGGGTAAGACTAAGAACATCCTTAGCTAACCTGTCATTCACTATCTGTGACTTGATTGTTGGCATGATATTAACCCTACGACACCAGTTACTATGTACAAAAATAAATAAATAGGTTATAGATTGTAAGTCTAAACCACTCGTAGTCTTAAGTTTGATAATATAATCAGCCAGTACCCAGCAACATAAGTATCAGAGTAATGTAAAGAAACTGTATTACTCTCCTTATTATTATCAAATTAAAATTTTAGAAAAATAGTTGCTAATATTTCTTATTTGGTATATATTTTTTACCATTCTGACATTGCAGAATTAAAAACTTAGACTGGCACCTTCTCTCTAAAAGAGCTGAACATGTATGTGGCAGTAGAATACATCACCTAGAAGTAGATATATATCATAAACATCGTGTCAACAACTATACATATTCTAAAGTAGGGTGGCTCGTCAACCTAAGCTGGAGAAAAGTGTATTTCAGTTGTCCTTCTTGAGTCTTGACCAACAGCATGTTAGATATAAAGAGATGATACATCATTTTTATCAAACTATATGAGCAAAACATGAAGATAAAGTTTGATTTTATTTAATCTTAAAATGCAAAGAAATATATGAACATATATTTAATTCCAAGTTACATTAATGTTAAATTGAGCTACAGATAATGTCTAAAAACTTGTTACAATTACAACATGATAGTGCAGTTCAGAATGTTTTTATTTTTCAAATTAACAGTTGAAATTTATATAGCTATTCACTCTTGTGCAACTACACATTGAAGTGCTATTTTCAAAGGTTTGTTTGCTAGCCAGGAATTTCAAGGTGTGTCTAAAAGTGCAAAAGTTCATCAGGCGATATTCAAGTAGTGTAAAATTCTTTTTTCTTTTGTTAACAAAAAAACCATTTGACAACATTTCAGTAGTAATCACATGGGAAAATTTGATTTGTTTAATGCTCATTATTTAAACAAAAGTTGTTGTATTAAAGTAAAAACACATATTATATGTAACCTTCCATCCATGTATTGGATTAGTCCATTATGGTGGGAGCACAGGGGAGTAAGTTTAGTGGTCTGCATTGCTTCAGTAAAATGTACTGAATGCCTAGCGTACAAGGCTTAAGAGAAGTGTTATGGTAGAATAAGTATGAAACATAAAATATATGTTGACACTAATAATCTTAACATTGAAAAAGGAGCAACAGTGTAACTCTACATTTCTTCTCCAGGACATATGTTTATTTAATCAACAGTGATATTAAAAAGATCTGACTGATAATAACACAATTGTCTTTTTTTTTGTTATAATTGAGGGTACATACTCATTTTATTATTGAACTATTTATGTTACTCTGTTTTGCTGTTTATTTATTATATTTATTAGGTATGATTAATTAATCAAACATTTTATGTTAAAAAGACTGGCTGTTAACCTGTTTGGGACAGTTACTGTTAACTACTTCAGCATGGGCTTGGTCCCTGGGACTGATCTCATAACCATTTTGTGCTTGTTATAATTTTAATGCTATAACTTTTGAATTAGTATGCGTATGTTAATGAAATTTGGCAGATTATCAGTAAACATTGCAGTGCTTTCATATTCAAAATTTCAAATTTTTTTATTAAGTCTTAAGGTTTGTAAAGCAATGTTTTTCCTCAAGCCTTTTTTTTTTTCACATGTTGGATAAGCAACATGCAAAGTAATTTTCATTTTAAGATTAAAAATACTTTTGTGCATCAGAAAATGCTCAAATTTCACATGTGAAATCTTTATAATGTCCAGATAGTTATCAAACATTTTTTAAGAAAAAACTATATTTTATCTGTTATTTTCAGTAGAGTATCTCTGTATGGGTCTGGTTGATTTTACTGATCTCATAAATATTTAAAAA